GGTGGTGGTGGTGGTGGTGGGGGTTGGTGGTGGTGGTGGTGGTAGTAGTAGTAGTAGTAGTTGTTGTTGTTGTAATAGTAGTACTAGTAGCAGTAGTAGTGGTAGCAGTAGTAGTGATAGCCGCAGTAGTGGTAGCAGTAGTAGTAGATGATGCTTCTAGGACAGGCTGGCTAGGCTCCCCACCGTCCACTCTGCCTCGCGCTGATGGCAAACCCCGGGGGGCTTTCTCAAGACAGAGCTACGGAACAATCTCTCAACTGTAACGATTATCTAGAGGAGATGCCACATCTAGCCCTCTCTGCCAATGCAGCCATTGCCGAACCTGCCGCGAGCGAAGGAAGGCCAGAGTTTCCTCCACCTGGATCGAGTTGAGAGCTTGGGATCAACAGCTTGGTCACTGCTTGGTCTCTACTCGTCTCCCAGACAGCATGTGACATGCACAGTGAGAACATCTGGAGAGGATCAGCGGTCCACAGCTGTGAGGGTGTTCTAATTCATTACATAAGGTTCATCCAGGACTTCTACTGCGTGAATGTAGCCCAGGAGTCCTCTGAATCCTCTGAATTGGAGTACTTGTCCGGATCAATTGCCACCTGCTCGCCACGATCTAACACAGCGGCAGCATCGCACAAAGCCGTGCCAAGCTCGTCTGCCTCGCGGGGAAACTGTTTTCAGCACAACTGCTTGTATCGCGCTAACCAAGAAGCACAAATTAAGGGAGGCGCGCGCAAAGCATGATTGCCAGAACATGTCAGTGCTGTTCAATCTGCAGAACGAAAACTTGAGAGGCAATGCAGAAACGAAAGCTTAGCACAGCCATGCACCGCCCACACCGATCGTCAACGTGCCAGCAGAAGCCAGCATCAGCAGCATCATGAGGCGCCCTTCCCTTCCCCCACGTGCCATCCCAAATCTTGAGAATCTTGAGGCTGGCAAACTTCACAGTGACACACCACGGCTCCCAGACTATGCCTCCTTAAAATCTCCATCACCTCAAAACCCATCCGTTTCGGCCACAATGAGGCCTTTCCTGAGCCCCAAGCTTCCCAACCTCACATTTTTAGTTCGCGGTATTGAAAGCATGTGAATCACGAGGATGATTCGTGACTAATTTTACGCTGCACCCAAGAAACATAAGAAACCATCTGTTGTCTTCAAGAAAATTGGGGACAGCCATCTGAGTCTGCGGCCATGATTCTTGCCTTCCCAGATTCTCTAGACTTCTTGGCGCAGGATAAGCTTGAACCCAAATCATCCAAATCATACTCAACAAGACACTACTCTCCTTTGCATCATTTCAGTCAGAACAAGTGCAGCAAAAGAAAGGAGTTGGTGCAAGAGCTGACCGATTTTTCCCCGTAGCTGAGCGCAGTAATGTCAGGCGGAGGAATCTCTGCATGTGGAAGAAGCATGTCTGCACTGGCCAAACGTGGCCAGCAAAGTCATGGCTCACTTGGGCCGGCAAGCTGCAAGGGTCAGGGCATCCGGCATGCAGATTTTCAGAAGGCCACACAGAGGCTATTGGTCCTCCGACAATCTGCTAGTGTACAATTGAACCAACAAGACCAGCTGGCAGCGGAGTGTCCTCCAGGGCCTGCACAATCTTCTCGGTCAGTGCGGTGATGGTAGGGTAGTCGAACCTAGCGTGCTTGCAGTGATTGTCACCAAACCGCCAGGAGGATGCATCGACCAACCACTGTCATGAACAGCCAGGCGCTGCACATCAATGAAGCTGGCCTGAGTACCACCACAAGAATTGTGACATCACGTTGCTCCTCTGCGCGGTTACTGGTGATGGCTCTTAGACCCGCACAGCTTGACGTTGAAGTCGCGCGTCAGGTCGTTGCGGAACTGGACGCTTGACAAGCTGTCCTGGCACAATCAAAGTTCACAGCTCTCCTCAACTGGGTTGCAAATCATCTGAGAAAACCGTTGACCCTTTCTGCAGCGGTCCAGGCCAGTGTCCATGAGAGGGGTGTCATCTGCCACCTCATCAGCGCCTCATCGAGTGCTTGGCATAAACGCAGCTACACAGAATTACATTGTAGAATCCAAGCACCAAACTTCCAAGAATGCTCTCGACTTCCTTCCGAATCATCTCCTTCACTTGAGCAGGCTCTGGCCTTCAGGAGCAATGGGCTGGCTTGACTCACAACCAAAATGTCGTCTGCTGAGGGTTGCGCCCCTTCTCCTTCACTGCCACAGACCTTGAAATCAAGCAAGTGTCTCGGCCACAAGTCAAGAGGACAGGTCCGAAAGCGAAAATCGCAAAGCCGGGAGGAGTACGACGCCGCATCAGCACCAGGGTCCGCAGCTGTCGCAGCAATGGCCTGACCATGGTCGACATTGCAAATGGCTGACATGGAAAACCTTCAGCCAGAGCCTCCACATCGTAGCCTCCGCCTCCAAGCGCCACACCGCTCCTGGGAGGGGCAAGCTGGCAAGCTGGCATGTTGGTTGCGGTGACTGCGGTGACGATGGTGAGGGCTTCATGTTCTAAGCCATGGTCGGGCCAATCTCGTTCAGCAGCTCGTTGGCTGCTGCCTTGGACGGGACCACGGCCGCCCACGGCTTCGAGCACTGAGTGACAAGCAGCAGCTAGGAAGCTAGGATGTGAGCCACTCCCTCATCATCATTGATCCGTTGGAAAATAGCCAGTGCCTGCACAAGGTCATGTAAGCAATGGCTGCTGGAAAACAGGAGCAACTGCACGCTTTGTATCTTCTTCAAACTCTGCTTTCATGGTCAGCGCGCTGTGCCCTTCCTCCTCAGCATGCTTCTCCGCAAGTCCGGCGGTCCTTTGGCAGACAAAACAGGGGTACATACAGTAGTTTGTCAGACTGAAGCAGCAAGTTTCCAGAAATCTGCTGAGCATTTTGCCCCAATTCGAGGAAACCTCTTGCACACAGCATCAGCGCCTCACTGACAGTTTTGAGGCCAACCAGAAAACATGCATTTGCCCTCCTGAAACACTGTTGCAGCAGCACGGCTTGGGGCTCCGCAACTGCTAGAGGCTGCTGTTCGCCTGGACACTGCAGACCTACTGGAATCCCGCCCTCCTGGTACGATTTTAGCAGAGGGGTGGCAGTCTGGAAGCCCCGTTCAGCAAACCTTGTCGCAACAAAAAAGGCTGAGACAGGCAAAGGAAGCAAAGCATGACTTGAAGACAAACTGAGGAGTCATGGACAAGTCGAGGGAGGGTTCAGCAAGGCCACCCCGTAAAGCATGATCTGACTTTAGCGTTGCTTCGTGCCCAGGCCTGTCCGACGGTATGCGTCACAGGCTTTCCCTCAGTGAGCTGATGATAACTCACAAGCCGAATGAGCCCAAGAATGTATGGATGTGGTACGGTATCGATGGCACGCATGTGGCCTGACCCTGAGGCAATGCTTGCAGTCATCCGGTTAAGCTGAGGACTTCCGGCAGAAACAGACTCGCGCGTCTCTCCAAACAGGGATAAGACCTGTGGCTTGAGAAATTGCATTTTTTAAGGCAGGTAACAGGTGATAGGAACTACTCTGGCATGCCTCCGCTCTTGAAAAGTTTGCTGTGGCCTTGGTCTGCCATACTGGTTCCCTTGTAGGATACGATAGCTTTCTCATGGCTGGCTCAGGGCCTTGCAATGGCCCCATCATCTTTACAGTCCTTGATGGCTTCCATTGCTTCGTCTGTAGCCTGGGATGCTGCTCATGCAATTCAACTACCAGGTTCGTGCACGAGGCCAAGGCAACGTATGCCTTGGAGCCTGCGATGTTGAGCTTGTTCTCCTTTATAGGTCCTTCCTGCCTTGGCCATGCGATGCATGTTGACAGTGCGGATTCAGTTGCCGGATGCATCAATTTCATGTGGCGTTCCCTGTTGGCTCAGGCCGCATTGTTGTCACAGCAAGATGGCAATCTTTTTGCTTGAAGAAATGATTGGTCGGAAGCGTAGGTTTCATCACTTTGGAAACCATGATTCTCGGTCGGAGCTCCAATCGCGTGCGTCATCACCATCCTGGAGAGTGTTGCAAGCTGGGTTGGTCAGTATATGTCTGATTAGTTCTGTATGCTTGCAGGAGCCTTCAGCTGGTCCGGGCTTTCTTCGCACTTTGCAGTGATTGGAGGCAGCTGCCCAGCCTCAATTACTGGCATCCACGAAAGTGCCTGCAAAGTGCCTGCAACTGCGTCGAACGGACTGAACGGTTCATACCAGGTGGCTTGGTGACAGCGTCCTCGATTTCAAGATCCAAAGATAAACAGCTGCACGAAGGAGAGACCCAAAAGACAGGATTTTAGCTTTTAATCAGGCGACGGTTATGTTTTCCACCGTGGCCGCGTATGACAGGCGCAAGCACTTGCCATCCCCAAACGCATCGCCGGGCACAAGCGCTACTCGATACCTTGCTTTGGCAGCCAGCCAGAACATGCAAATTGGCTTAGCGCATACAGTAAGGCTCGCTCACTTACAATATGATTCCCAAGTCCGCCGAGGCCAGAGGCCTGGGGCGTTTAGATCCAGGTCCGGAGACTAGGAGAGTAAGTTAACCCTCCCCGCACCCCCTCCCAGTGCGGATGATTTCTGGGTGGGGGTAGGATCGGCTCTTTTTTGAAAGTTTCTAGGGTGGCCATGGGGTCCGGGTCGTCAGGCTGGCGTGGGGCCAAAATGCAGGGCCGTCCAGGCACCAAGCCAACGGGGCGGGGGAGGGGCCGAAGGGCGGTTGGGTGGGGTTGACGTAGCAGGGACGGCAAAACCTGTTTGGTTTGAGCATGCAGTGCATGTACGACAACCTTTGCCGAAGCGGTCTCGCGTTAGCGGTTAAATTCATCGGAAGAATCGTGTGATGGCCTTTAGTTGCACTGCCAAGCAAACCGTGCTGCCACTGATATCCTGTGTCATTCACAACTGCTGCTTGGATGCTCCTCCAGTAGGTGAAGGCAAAGTTGAGTTGCATCCTGCAGTTGACTAGGGTTGTGATCTGAGCTGATCATGATCGATATAGATATAGGAAATACCTTTCGGAGGGACGATCATTTGTAGCTAGTACTTAGCCATACTTAGCCAATAGTGGCTACTAATTCAACGAAAGCAGAACGTTAGCATCATAAGCACGATCCCCATCACAATCACAACAACAAGTTTCATGATAGAATTAGGATTGTAACCACGGTTGAAAGGAACACTTGAGCCAAGACAAGGTTTTATGGGACCACGGACCACTTATGTCCACGGCATGTTATGCGCCAGGGTGATTTGTCATCTTGCCTGCATGGTTCCGGACTGGTCTGGGGCCACGGAAAGGGAAGGCCTTCGGGAGCCACACCTGCGGTTTTTCGAAAGCCAAGAAGCTGCAACGGTGGCTGCTGAACTTGATACCTTGTTGCTTACACAGGTCTCACATGGTAATTCATACCTGGTGGCTTACACATGGGACAACTGGCCAGAGCCCAAGTTCACAGGCTTGGCTTCTCATAACTACGCTGTGTAGAGTTCGGCCACCAAATCACAGACAAGCCGGACTGATGCGATGTGATAGCCCACTCTCGGCATTGTTCTGGGATGTGTCTCGCCGCTCTTACGTTCCTGTCATGGTTCAACCCCAATCTCTTGATGACGTTAATGGAAGCTATCAGTGTTGTAGCAGTTGCGGTGGAGGCGGAGGTGGCATGCCGGTGACAGGTGCAGGCGGCGGCGGGGGGGGGGCGCGGCGGCGGTGCGCTCCGCTGCTAGACAGCAATGGTGACAGGCAATTGAACGTAATGCTAGAAGTAGAGGGCGAAGATGAGTGGAGTCGAGATGGGTCCTGGCAAGCCTTGAACTCAAGGAGTAGCTGATGTTGCAACCACAGGTCCTCGATCGCCTTCCCGTCGGCCGTGGTGCGCCCGAAATAAGCTGAAACGTCCGGAAACCTGAATATTCACTCCATGAAGTGCTTGCAGCTGCATGCCGATTAGGTCAAGACAGAGGTGAATCTCAGCCCGGTACAAGTAAAAGGCCCCCCCAGGCTTGGGGCACTTGAGGTCCTCAGCCGGGTGAGAAGTATGGCTGCAGCAGGCGCGGCTGAAGTGGGGGACACAGATGCTGAAACAAATGGTCAAGTTGCGGGTATTTTGGCAAGGAGATCCAATGCCAGGTCCCTCTTCTTCTCAAGCTCGACAACTTTGCCAGAGATGTAACCTGGCGCGCTGCTTCTTCAAGCCCTGCCAGTTGCCACACCTAGCTCTGTGCAAAGGCTAACGCAATTCAAGGAGCTCATATCGCATTGCAGCGCCGCAATGCCAGCATGCTGTGCCACACTCGAAGCGCACGAGGTTATCCTAAGGTAGGGTGATGGCCGGCGTGTGCAAGTCACTCAGCATCATGCGGCTGCATCTTGTTGAACGCAACGCAAGCCAGCAAGGACTAAGGAATGAGTTGGCTGAACAAAGGTCGGCCAAGATTCTGAGACTGCAGCTTGGACGCTGCCTTCACAATGTCCTTCGGCGCGGCAAGGTAGCCTAATCTATAGCCTGCGGCTCCAGGGCTTGCGAGCGTGTTCAGTGCATGGTCAACTGTTACGTACAGGCCTGTCATCGAAAATGCCTTAGAGAACCCGTTGATCGTCAGCGTTCGTTCCCACATGTCCTGCATTGCGACAATGCAGAAGAGCGCTGCGCTTTATGAACAGCCGCCGTGCCTTCAACGCGGCAAAAGACGCATGCTCAGTGCCGTCGTAGCCTCAGAAATTTGACGTTGGCCAATGCAGCCGGCAACCGTGCGCAAGACGCTCCGCCATCATCTCACTTTCGAGAGAGCCAATCCTGCGACTTGTGGGTAAGTCGCAGACATATGCGCTCATAGATCTCATCCGAAAGCACCTTGTCATTAAAACTTTCCGTTCAAGCGCTCTGGCTTCTGCTTTTGCCTCTGAGCTGCAAGTACGTGCTGATTCTGCGGCTGTCGCAGAACTTCAGCAACTGCCTCAACCTGGTCCTTGGACATAGCGCAGCCTGCGCAAGACCGTGCTCAATCAATAGTCTGCACTTCCAAGGTGAACAGCTCCGCAGATTCGTTCAGCAGCTTGCGAATGTTTGCGGGCTATCCCAGCTGTTGCGAGCCTGTTGGATTCGATGGATTGCAAACCTTTGCTGTGGCAAGGCCAGCGTCGCAGCAGGGGTGCAAAGGTCAGTGGCTAGTCTCGTCTAGGCTGCAATGAGCAAGCGTGTCTGCGGTGTGATGGCAGCAGCTAATCTCTTTGCGTCGATGGCGTAGCCCTGGTCGGCTGTGGTCTCCAAAATGACGGGAGTCGCCCCAGACAGCTTTACAATGTCCTTGGCTGCTCTGGCAGCTCCAGTCATCTCGATCTAGCATGTGAAAAGAACGGTGCCATTGGCGGACAGCTAGCGGCCATGACTTCTGAGGCGGAAGTGCAAAGAAGTGAAAGCAAAAACCCTTTACATCTCCAGACCTAGGCATGCGCCAAGGGGCAGGGTAGGAGGTCCAGTAAGGTGCTGGGACGATGACCTCATCACCCTTCTGGCAGAGAGCCATGACAACTTGGTAGATGGCCTGTTTGCCTGCGTGCAAGTCTGAATGGTGGACAATGGTGGACAGACTAATCTTGATAGTCAAGCCAAGGCAGCGAAGCCAGCTGCATAAACTGGACGAGAACTAACCAGACTTACATTGCGGGTGTCTCTCTTAGGATGGTTTGAGCTAGAATATATCGAATGCTTTCGGCTCCAATCGACAATTTTCAAAAAGACAAAGTAGAAGTCTTAGTTATTCCGCTCGTAGGCTCCATCTTTCCATCGGCTTGCTTGCCTCTAGGGTAAGACCAGCGTGGAGTAGGAGGGTGCCCCTGGCCGAGCGGGTCCGGCCCGCGCAGCTGCCGCTGCACGGGCTATGAATGGCTACGGCTACGGGACAGATGAAGGGCGTCCTGTGTGAACGGACTTCAGAGTATTCCCTCTAGCAGCTGCGAGACGCTTCAGCTTCTTATAAGGCTCTTTGCGTTGAACATGGAGCTACACATAATTCAACCCTACTAGTCGTCCGCACGAAAAGGCCAATGAGCAGGTGGACAAGCAAGTTGGCAGCCTCCACAAGCGATCAAGATCTCGTCAGCAGCGTATTTGACCTGGTGTGCTGCCATGAAGACCTCTTTGCCAAGGCTTCTATGCCCCGAGGGGGCTTTTTTTGCGGGCCTGCCTTCTTATACCTCTCCAAATACTCCGCCACAGCCTGGAGGCACGGCGTTCTGTAGAACACCTAAGTTGCAATCACCTCCCAGGCCTGGCGCAGCTCCAGAGTTCCTGCGCAAAACGTGGTTGAATTCCAGGCAGAGCTGTTCAGGAGGCAAGGAGCAAGCAAGGAGGGAGTTCCTGTCACTGCCGTGTAGCTTGTCAGGCCCTTGACAGCTGCTTCTTGTGTCGCCTTGATGGCTTCTGGTGGAGGGGCAAAGTCCGGCTGCCCCACCTCCGGTCGGAGAACTTTGTTCGAATAGCCATGGATGGTGAGACGTCAAGACATATGGAAGCCAAAGAGCACAGAGGGCACCGTTGACTTTCTCTCCGCGGCTTTTCATATTTGAAACCTGCACTGGTTCCATCACTGCACTTCAGGGACTCCCGTGGTTGTCATGTTGTTTGTCAGGTTGCCGGGCCTTGCTGAAAATTGCAACCGTAGTGGACCTGAACTTAAGCCGCTGGAGGCATGCAAGGGCTGATGCAAGGTAGCTTAGTCTGCCACTCTTCCATCTCGCTGATGATTGGGTTCAGCTTTAAAGGCGCCATGGCTTCAAAAGTGGCGCTGTCAGCGATCTGTTATACTTGTAAACTGGTCGCTGTTCTTGATCTTTGGCACTGATGGGTGCTATGCAAGCAATTTCGGCTTGATAAATATGTTAGCAGCCATCTACCACTCGCACCACACCACAGCACGGCGTTGGCAGCTTATTGCAGCCTGCTGTCTGAGGCACATGCTCTTCACTTGCATCCAATTTGCTGACCTTTGGAGAGCTGGGCAGCGGGAAGCTGAGTGCTCACAGATACTGTACCTGGGTCCTGGGTCTCTTGCCATAAACATGTGGGCTTGAGCGACGAGTGACAGTGACTCGACCTGCCACCAAACTAGGCTTAGCTTGGTTGCCCTCCACGACCCCACCCTGATTTCATCCGTGCAAAGGGGCGGCCAGTCCTGCCCAATGACATCCTTCTCCTGGCGGTCATGCAAACAACCGTGCCCTGCGCTGCGTGGCTGGGCCTACTGTGATTCAGCAAAGCATGCAAAGCAGTTTAGGCCTTCTTGTAAATGGTCTTTGCAGCCTCTGCTGCTCGGGCTGCTTCCTGAGTTTTGGCAAGCAAAGCTTGCTTCCAGAACAGCATGCCGGTGCGAACACAGTGATAAATGCAATGAGTATACTCTGAGAAAGGCACCTTCGGCTCCTCTCGGCCTGATCAGATTGCTGAACTGCTCGAAGTGTTGCTTGCATTGGAAGACATCACTTGTTCCTGCCCGAAGGCCCCCGCCGCAAAGGTCTGCGTTCACCATTATGTACAGAGGTACATAGCAGCAAGCAGCCGCCCGAAGTTGCAAGCAGGAAGCTGCTTGCAACTCCATGCTGAGCGAGGCTAGGGAACGTAGAACTAAGCCGAAGCTGCAAAGACTGTCCGGCTATGCTGGACGCCTTGCAGCGACACCCCATGGAATGGAGACGTGATGCTCAACAGCGTGAGTGAGCGGTAGTCTCTTAAACCTTATCACCTTTGAGATGTTGCAGTCTCAACCCTGTTGGCACACATCGCAGGCTAACACAGTATCCGAATCCAGTGCACCTGGTCCACCAACCTGGCCCTGACCACACTGCCCTCTCGGCTCCAGTAGGATCCGGCAGGTTGTCGCCAGTTGATTCGCAAAGTGCTATATACACATGCTACATTGCCAATGCAATGAGAGCTCAGCTGGCCATTTATGAGCCAAGAAACAAGTCACCTCTGTACGCCCCGGTGACTTGCACAGCTCCGGAGGCCAAATCCCCGGATTCGCAAAGGCTCAGATCGTGAATGGGCTCCAGTGTTGATTGGGGCCTTCTTTGCCTGAGTTGCAGAGAAGCCGGGCACCACTCACCCCTCCGAAGATGTTCTAAGCTACCCGCGTCGGCTTGCAAGCATGTCATCAACCTGCAGTCTAGACATTCTACGTGCTCTGTGCAGAAGATTGCTGCAGGCTGAACGAGGCCAGGCCTGTCCCGGGTTGCTTGCTGCAGCAACGAAACCATAGAATGGAGGCGAAGGTCTCAGCATGGTCAAGGCATACTGTTGCAGCAAAGTGCTGCCGTCACAGCCAGGCATCCAGCTGGCCAGGGCGCGACTTGTACTCGGGGTGGTATTGCACTCCCATATAGAAGGGGTGATCCTGAGACAGAACATGCCAGAGAGCAGCACTTTTGCACTAAGACAGCGTCCTTGGTTGCCATCTCGATGATGTCCATGCGCTCCTTTCTGAAACGCTGCTCAAGGAATACAGCAAGAAACTGGCTAGCAACAGGCGAAATGTCCTTGCTCTCGTCTTGGCCGGAGAAAATGAGGCCCTTCTTCTCCATTCTTTCTTTGAAGGCAACGTTGAACTCATAGCCTGTGCTGGTGGAAGCGCAAGAATGGTAGCCCATAGTACGTGCACGGCAGCCAGGCTACGGTGTCTATGGCGCTCGTGGACCCGTGCTGCGCCACCTTGGGATTGCGCAGAATTTAACACGCCATCTTCGGAAAGGTTACAAAGCCAAGACGCCATACAAGGCGGCTGCCAGAGACTCCTCTGGCTTGGTGAATTCCACCCATCTGGCTCCCAGCCGCATGTTTGCACCCATGGTGTCCTGTCAGGCTTTTCTTGCTCAGCATTTTAGCGCCAGCAGCTGGCTCTGCAAGTCCTTCGAAATTTCAGGCATGAAGATGACCACATGGTTCTTGGACCTCGGAATCCCCATGACCGACAAGGGTAGAGTGAACCTCCAAGCCTTCCGCTTCCTTAGAAGCTTTTCTGAGCTCAGGGCTTCATGGCAGTGTCGAACTCTTCGCTGGTTGCGTCTGCAATACCAAGGGCTTCTCTGGCGAAGTTTATGAGGGCGACCTGTGGGGATGCGAGCCATGCTCTCCCCCCTCCATCCAAAACAAGATCAAACGCAGCATTCGCGCCTGCATCCCCAAGCAGACACCGAGGTATGGCTTCTTCCATTCCCGCCTCAAAGCTGAGTGATGGGGTGGCGGCTGCCCAGGCCAAGAATCGCACTCCCCTCTGAGCCAAGGACGCCAGCCCTGCTGCGCGAGTTTTGCCTTCCACGCCTCCGCGCCATGCAAGCAGGGCAACGTTCGAGCAAGCTCAAGACGCGGCAGAATCCTAACTCCTAACATGGGGCATTGCGTAGGATTTTCCAAGAGGTGCCCCAGAGCATGCATATGTTTGCTGTTTGCGAAGATCTTCGATTTCAAGCAGCGCAGAAGGGCGCTCCCAGTTACTTCGTCCTCGCTTACCTCCACGCTGCAGCAGGCAACATCTTGTAAGGAAGCTTATATAAATAATAAGCTACAAAAAAAGGAGGAAACAGAAAACTCGTGTTTTCAAAAAAGGGCAAGCACGGGGATCCTTTTGCACTGGAGCTTAACAACGGTAACGAAGGGAGGCAAAAATCAAACATTGGCGCAAGCATGGCAAACTCGGCTGGCAAAACTTTTTAAGAACAAACACCAGGAAGCACACGAGAACACCTAGGAAACTTTGGACAGTGGGAAAAGCAGGAAGTCGGGAAAAGATAAAGCAAAAACACATATTAACATTAGGACAATCTTAGGAAATTAGGGAAACAAGGAAAACCAAGATCACATGAAACAAACAATGAAACTAGGAAATATAGGAAGTTTGGAAAGCCTAGGAGAAGCCCGTCCCGGGGCGTTTGGATCTAGTGCCAAGGGGTCAGGTATGTTTTCCCAACCCGAACCAAAGTTCTAGGTCAAGGATTTCCCCTCTTTTGTCAACCTTCCCCATGGCGTCGTTTTCTACCATGGCGCTCTGTTCTCGCTGCACACCCTTACCTCCTTTCCCTCCCCTCTGCTGCCTGTTGCTGCCGCCCTCGCCTGGGTGACCCTCGCGCACAAGCTACATGTCCTGATTGTCTCGACTTTCTGTTTTCAGATTCGAGGTTATAAATTCTCCTGAGTGTTTCTTATGCTCATGTAATCTAAGCACTTCCACTTTCCCAACATTTCCATAGGCGAGAACTACTTAAGAAGTACTCTGGCCACCGATTCGCAACTCCATCAGGAACACCTGCCCTTCTGGACGCGCAGTGACTTGTAACATGGCTTCTCGGTCGCAGCAGAGCCAGTGTTCGGAAGCTTGCTTGCTCCACTGGATGCCGAATCTGCGCGCAGCAAAACAGCCAGAACAACATCCTCCTTCACCTGCTGGCCAGTTTGCATCGTTCTTTGCTTTGGGATTGGGGCCAGCAAGCAGCCCAAAGAAACTGCATGCATATCTTTGGCGATATCGCACAGAAAATTGTGGCAGCATGCTCTCAGAGCACTCCTTCTTCAGCAGTGCATCACGCATTGTGCGCGTGTAGACAGTAGGCGTCTTCGAAACATGCCTCGAGGAACTTAATGAGTTGGCGCAGGCAGACTAGCAATCGGCAGATTAGCATGGTGAAGGTGTCCATGAACCCAGCGGTCCAGCCCACCCTTGCAGACATGAGGGTCATGTTTGGACTAGCATGCAGCGCGTATGGCGTATGGAGCAGTTTTCGCCTCTTATAAAAGGGGCCCAGTGCCGTGGCATATATGTAGCACAACGTCAGTCTCACGAGCCAGTCAGCCACACCAGCATCCACCGCACTAAGCACAATCAACTTCCACATCTTGGGTCAGAAATTTGGTAGAAACACATGCGAGGTGAATTCGTCCCTCTGAAAAGCCCTGCAGCGACATGTGAATGGTCATGGGAAGCCCACGGCCCGGCATGCTTGGAAGCGAGGGCATCGAGTCGGACATAGCATGCTGGGATGGCAGTGCGACTGCGGGAAAGTTGTTGTCGCAACTGTGGCCACAAGGGGCTGGTGAGAGCCAGTTGAAGCAGCAACGTGGGCTCGGGAAGCATCCAGTCGGCCTGCGTCCTGTGCGCGCTCAACGAAAGCAGCAGTGAAGGCGAAGCCATACGAAGCCGCAGCTGCACTCGAAGGAAGAGTTGCACTTCCACCTTGCCAAGCCATGTGCCAGAGCTTCCTAGCCCAAAACGGCGGGGCAGCCGCCCTCTGCGCTTGCGCACATTGGACACCGAGTTGTATGACGTCTCAGCATGATGAGGGGAGTCCAGAGCCTGATGCTGAGCGTGGTCGTTATCGGAATAAGCATGCCAAATCATTGGCCCAGTCCCTCGCTTTTGCGTGGGGCAGTGAAATCTGGTACCTCGAGCATTGCATCCTTCCGCCCCAACAATCTTGCCATCGCCCCCCCGCCCCCTACCCCCACATAGAGGCAAACATCTGCAAGCCCAGAAAGTCCAGGTGCTGTGAGATAAGATCGCTGCTCACAATGCCGTCCATCCTGGCAAGGGTTTGGAGATGATCAGAGAAAGATGCGCAGGCGCTGCGGCAAATGCGTTGTCACGCGATCCAATCTTAGGTCAGCAGCTTTTTTTGGTGGCTGAATCAAATATCATTCTACATTCAAGTGCTACCACCAAG